CTGCTTGCGTGGTGCCAAAAGTATTCGCACCCTCCTCACAGTCCGATCGGGAGCTTTTTGAGCACGCAAAACTCCGAGGAAGGTGAAAGTCAGAGGGTCGCGTGTCATCAAAACTACCCCGCGAAACCACGCGGGCCGTCCCCTGTCTGGGGGCGCGATCAGCTCACCCGAAATCGCTCCCGACAGGCATCGGCCCAACCTGCTCCGAACCTCCCCGAGGAGATGCCCCAACCCCTCTGGGCAACCTGTTCCACCGCTAATCTACTTTCCCCCCCCTTTTTCAGGGAAATTTGGGCCCAGTGAATCTGTTTTCGCAGCAGCGCGAGTTCCCAGGGGTTTCGTCCCAGCTGTGGAGGAACGGCTTCACGATTCGGCTGCGATTTAAAGGCAGAGTTTCAACGGACCCGAAGCGGGACTCGTCCTGCCAACCCGGCAGATACAGAGACTGGATTACTTCTTCCCTCTTTGCAGCCCTCAGCTTCCCTGCTCCAGGCAGCGGCAACACCAAACGCTCCAAAAGCGGATCCGAGGCCCCCAAAATAGAGGCCAGTTAATCTGCTTCCCACGTTGGGTTTCATCGCCGTCTCTAATAATTCAGAGATCAACTCGAGCCCTAAAGCGTGAGGTCTAGCGTCTCACCACGCGTTTCGGGGAGCGCTCATTGCAACAGCTCTGCGGCACCCGCCCCCTTTTCCCAGCTTGTGTTAAGATTAGCTCGTTTAGCTAATTTCCCACGGCCGCACCCGGCGTAAAGCTTGTTTCCTTTTGATCCGGTTGCAGGGACTTACGCTTCATCACGCGGCACGGAGGGCCGCCGCTCCTGAACTTTCTCAGGCTCTCACCGATGGACAGAGCAGCAAGTTTTCAACCCTGAACCCTGGCAGCTCCACAGACTATTTATAAAGGGTCCACAAAAAGGTAATTAAGGCTTAAATTCATTATATAGGGGCGCACAGGTCTGGTGAAAAACACTCCAGGGTCCAGAAATCAAGTGAGCAAGGACAAGAGTTAACGACTGCCACAGAAAACGAAGCCGGTAACTCCTATCTATCTTCCTAGCAAACGTTTCCGAATATCCGCTCAACCCAATGGCCTCTTTCCTGTGCTCTGGCAGCCCATTTGAACAGGGCACTGGGTGTATTCCCCCAGGGTGGTGCCCTATCAGCTTCATTTATTAGTCAGCTTCGTTATTTAGGTACCTTCAAGGGGGAAGTAACAGCTTGAATTAGATCAGCTGAGAGAGCTGGGGGGAGGATAGTCACCTGGGTAAAATGCAGCTATTTCTGGGGGAAAACCTTGTGTAAAAGCAGACCTAAAAGAGGAGCGCAAAAGACTTGCGCCAGGAGATGCATAAGCAAAAAAACAAAAACAAAATTTGGGAAGAGATTCCTCATTCGAGGCTCTTTCCAGCAGCAGCCAGAAGGCTGCATGTGTCGCAGATCCTCTTCTGGGGGGGAGAAAAAAAAGTTTCACCTTTGCAGCACAAAAGAGGGATGTTTGCTGGGGAGGTGAACGCGCATCCCCTTGCTGAGCTGGAGGCACGATGGGATGGGGAATACGGGTCTTCCAGAGCAGCGGGAAAAACCCTGGCGGATGCGTTTTGGGGTGGGGGGGCTGCTGCGACCCTGGCCCGCGTCGCCCAGCGCCGCCCTCACGGAAACCCGCAGGGAAGAATTGGTCTCTTCTGGTTGTCGCAGGACGTGGCCCAAGCGGGCATCTCCCGCGCGCAGCAGCCCGTTCCCTGGCAGCCGAAAACACGCCGCGACGTAGCTGAGGAGACTCGCCGGGCTCGGCCGCGTCCGGGCGGAGAAACATCCGCCGGCGGTTTGGGGCGCGGATCGACTCGGGCGAGGCCGCCTCGCGCCCCAGCTCCGCGCCTCGGTTTCCCCCCTTCGCCGGGCAACCCCACCTTTGAGCGGACGGGGAGCTTCATTGCATTCCCTGCCCCGATTCCCGCTGGAGCGGCTACGGGCTGAAATCCTTCCCTGGAAAAACTACGGGAACAGCTCGAACCCAGCAACAACCACCCAAGCCGACGCGTGAGCCGAGCCCTTCCCCGGGCGGCGGGGGCGAGAGCCGGGAATTCCCCGGTGGGACGCGGGAGCTTTTAATCGCCTGCTCCGAGTTTCTTTTCATCTTCCTCGGAAGCAGATGGATCTGGGTGGGAGCAGGGCACAGGTCGTTCCGATATCCCTGTATCGGAGCCAAAGTCCCGACACCGGATATCTTCGGCGCCTTCCCAGCTATGCTGACACAGCCGTGGATTTAAAACCTGCCAGGGCCCTCCGCGCTTTTACGCCGCAATCCTTTCCTCCGCCTCGCTCTGGGCAGGGAGGATCCGGCCGCTGGCGTTTCGAGCGCGATATCTATTTCAAGGATCACGAATCAGCTCGTTTTAATCCCGAGCCGGGTAGAAACTTCACAGCTGGTTGCTAAAATTACCAAGCAGCGCACTGAGCATAGCTGGATCGGTAGCAAAAAAAAAGGAGGCAATGCTGTCTTTTTATAGATAACACGTAAGCGATTCCCCCCC